GGGCCTCCTGTCCAGGACCTGCCTGTCCAGGACCTCCTGTCTGGGCCTCCTGTCCAGGACCTGCCTGCCCGGGCCTCCTGTCCAGGACCTGCCTGCCCGGGCCTCCTGTCTGGGCCTCCTGTCCTGGACCTGCCTGTCCGGACCTGCCTATCTGGACCTGCCGTTCCGGACCAGTCGTGTTAATGTGGTGGCGTTCATGGTCTCCTGTGACTGACCGTCACCCAGCACGGTGTGTCAAGTCCCGTCCAAGGTGGCGCGTGTCCGCCTGAGCCCCTCCTCCCGGCTGAACGCCGCTCCCACTCAGAGGCCCGCGTCACTGTGCCTCTGCAGAGCCGCCGAGCCCGTGCTGTGGCCAGCCGCCCTCCGTTCCCCGCCTGCCCTGGGAGCTGCGGGCTCAGGCCGGGACCGCGGGGTCACCTGCAGGAGCCTCGCGGGGCCAGCAGGCGAGCAAGCCCAGGCGAGAGCTTCACCCCACCCCAGGCAGCTGGAGGCCGCAGGGGGGTGGCCGTTCCGCCTATATAGCTGAATTCTGCCCCAGAAAGACACCTCTGTTGCTAGAGGAGTTGGCCCTTCAGAGAGAGCAGGAGGTATGGGTTCCGCTTGCCAGTGTCTCAGCGTTCGCAGCCCAGTGCGGGCTCGGGGCTGCTGGGTTTGGCCGAGGCCCTCAGTGCCCGGCAACATGCTCCCAGGTGAGGCTGGCGGGCTGGGCCCACGCGCAGCACAGCCTGGGGGCTCCCAGGTTGCCCCAACTCTGCGAGGCCGGCTGGTGACTGCGCCCACAGCACAGCGCCCAGGAGAGGGGCCACCCTCCTGCTCCCCGGGTTCCGGGGGGGGCAGGCTGGAAGCGACACACGGCCACCCTCCCCTGCCGGAGGCGGGAGTCCACAGCCGGGTGCCGCAGGGCCGGGTCCCTCTGGGGGCTCTGGGGAGGGTCTGCGCCCCAAGAATTTCTGCACCCTTTCTCTGGGCTCTCTCTGGGGTGCTCCCCTCAGCTGCTGCCTTTCCCCACCGCCAGGCCCCTGCGTGAGCACTCGCTGGATGCTCGCCGCGCTCCCCAGGCCGGTGTGTGGCCTCGGCCCGGCCCGGGACCCCCGCAGACGGGACCCCTGAGGGTGCACCCCATGCGGGGTCCCCGCCCAGCCTCGCCTCCCTTTCCTGAGGACACAGCTGGTCCCGGCGTCCTGAGTCCTCACCCGCCGCTGCCTTCAGAGGCCGCGTCCAAACAAGGTCACAGGCCAGATTTCAGGCGCCTACACAAACTTTCAGGGGCCCCCACGGCAGCACCCCTTTGGGGGCCGCATTCTAACAAAGGCGGGGGCTTGGGTCCAGAGCTGCAAGGTGGTGGCAGGTGGCGGGTGGCTGTGGGACCCTGGCCGGAGGGTGTCGTGAAACGGGGGGCTCCGGCCCGTCCTGGGGTCCAGCGCTGCCCCCCGGCCCAGCATGGAGGCCGCAGTGGTCTCCATGGGGCGGTGCCCGCAGCCCTGTTTCGGGGGGGCAGGACCGTGCCTGCAGTGGGGACGGCGGAGCCAAAGGAGGGGAGATTGACACCCCCCCACCCCCCGCCCCACCCCGGGGTTTAGGGGCAGAGGAGCCCGTTGGGCCTTGGCGGGCAGCCCCAGTCCAGCCCCCGCCGCTGGGAGCCCCGGGGCGCTGGGCCTGTGGATTGAGACACCCCAGGGCTCGCGCGCCCCCCCCCCCACGCAGCCGGGAAGGAATTGCGTTCGTCCTTCTGTGGGCTTTTTTTTTTTTTTTTTAAGATTTATTTATTTGTGCATACAGAATTGGGGTGCAGGCCAGAGGCTCAGGGGTGGCGAGAGGCTTCACCACAGACAGAGCAGGGAACAGAACAGGCAGATCGATGAAGTCCACTGCTGAGGGGAGCAGCGGGCGGGTCAGGAGAGGTCTGCCACGCCCTGTGGTCACCTCCGGGGCAGGCGGGGATCGAACCCATGCGGAAGCGGCTTTAGATTCTCAGTGTTGTGCTTTAACCCGCTGCACCCCAGGGAGGGCCACCTTCTGTGGGCTTTTAAAAAATTCAATAATTAATTCGAGCGGCTGGTGGGATTGTTATGAGAATTTGGCGTTTCCGTGGGTCTGTACTTCGGCAACCGCTTTTACAATCGTTTACCAGCTAAATAATTTAGAACAAGTTGTAGCTGCACACACGGAGCCTGCAGAGGCTGGTGGGGGGAGCAGGGTCCCCGAGGGAGAGGGCAGCGGAGAGCCGACCGCTGAGCGGAAGTCGGGGCCAGCTCGGCCTCCTGTGCGGCCCCTGGCTGACCGTGATGTCACGGTGACAGGACCCCTCGGAGGGGGCGTTTAAGCTGGAGGGGAAGCCGGAGCCTCTGGTCCCACCTCCCGTTTCAGGAGGGGGAGGCCCAGGAAGGTCCCCTAACGTGAGGGTGGGGCACCCCACCCATTGCTGAGCCTGAGTGGGCAGCCCAGCGCCTGGCGGGGGAGGGCTGGGCGGAGCCGGCCGCCCCACAGCCTGCCTCAGTTTCCCCTGTGACCCTTTTCCTGTCCACGCACCTGGGTGCAGCCATCCTCACGGGGTCGTTGACTCACTGGCTCAGCCACTCACGCTTGGCTGTGACGTGGGTGACAGTCCCCCTCTGGGGGGCCAGAGGGACAGAAATGGGGGGGCATCGCCGCCATCCTCACCCCGGGAGGCTCAGGGCGGCGCCTTCCGGAGCTCCTAGCTGGAGCGAAAACATTCACATTCGTGTCAGCGGAGAGCCCAGAAGGGGCAGACGCCCCCAAACGGGGGGGCGCTGGGGCAGCTTTATTGCAACAGGGTGTTCGCAAAGGCCTGGCCAGGGTGTGGGGCGCAGAGAGGCAGCTCTGAACGTGCGGGGTGGGGGGCCGTTGCCACCCCAGAACCGGCAGGAGGAGGTTCTGGGATCAGAGATGGGCCTGGGGCCGGCCAGACCCAGGCCGCCAGCCTGAGGCTCCCCACTAGCCGGGCGTGGAGTTCTGCCGAGCAAGCACACTTGGGGGGCAGCACCTGGGGGTCCCCAGGGCTCAGTCTTTGGCCCCTGAAGGGCCCAAGCTCAAACGTGTCCAGAGAAATTGTCCTGTGTGACTCGGCTGAGCCTGTGACGGCCTCTGGCCTCTGGGGCTCAGCCCTGTGCAAATGCTCCTTCTGGACAATTCTGATCCCTGACCGTGGGGCTAGCGGCCGAGCAAGGGCGGGGGCTGAGACGGCTTCTGGCCGCTGGCCTCAGTTTCCCTGGCTGTAAACAGGTGTGAAAGGAGCGCTCCGCTCAGCCTGAGACACCCTGGCCCCAGACAACTTCCACTCAGCTGCGCTGTCCCCAGTCAGGATGGCGGGCTGGGCCCCTCCAGCCGCGCCCCCCCAACGTGAGGTGAGGAGGCCCCCGGGGGCTCTGGGGGTCCACTGGACAGCGCCGTGGCCAGCAGGTCCCCAGGAGAGCAGCCTGGGGGCGAGGCAGCGACAAGCGGAGCCCCTGGCACCTCAGGGAGGACTGTCCACCCCTAGTCACCTTGGGTCACCCCTCCCCAGGACGGGACCTCAGGTCCTGCTCGGACTCGAGAGGGGACAGGCTGTAACCCCATCTGCGCTTCCATCCCAGAGCACAGAGCCCACCCTGGCCGCTCCTCGGGGCCCCCAGATCGGCCGTGGCAGCCACACCCCTGGGGGGCAACGCGGGGAAGTTCTCGTCCCAGGAATGAGCTCTGTGCCACTGGGCTGGGCACGGGCGTCGACCAGCCGTGGGTGTGACCGCGTGAGATGCAGGACCGTATTCGCGGTAAAAATCATTTGGAGAAAGCAGCCACCACCCACCGTGTGAGTAACCTGCGGGTGCCCGCAGGGGCTGCAGGCCAGGGGTGCCCGGGCCATCAGCAGCGCTGGGCGAGGCAGGAGCGGGGTGCGCTGGCCCGCGGCGGGGCCGGCTGTGGTGACCGCAGAGCGGGGCCAGGACTGTGCTGGGTGAAGCCCCTTGCTCGAGGTGACCTGTTACAGCAGCCACGGACAAGACACTCGCTGCCCCCGCCGCCCTCCCCCACTGGGTTCTCTGGTGTGCCTCGCCTGCCCGGGCCTCCTGGGGTCCACACCTGAGGCATGTGGGGTCCCTCCCTGGGGCAGTGGTGGGGCGCGCCCCTCCGGGGGGCCCAGTAGGCTTGCCGCCCCACTGGGCTGTGCTCTCCAGAGCCTGGCTTCCTCGGGAGCTGGGGAGGGACCCCTCGTGTCCTGGGGGGTCCGGCTGCGGGCTCTTACAGCTCTGCAAACCGAGACCTGACGTGTGACAGCCACCCCTGGGCAGCAGGGTCGAAGGCTCCTGAAGGCGGCCCCTGACCTGTCCTGGCCGCCCCAGGACCCCGCTTTCTCTTCCAGGCAGACACCTCTCCCTCCCCAGAGCAGGCACCAGGCCTGCACTTCCCTCCCACAGCTGGGGGTGCCAGTCCCAGCCAAGCCTCCTCTAAATGGGGGCACGCTCAGCTGCGCCTCCCTAATGCAGTCACACAGGGGCCGGCTCCCGAGAGGCCCCCACCCATCAGCACCCCGGCCCGCGGCAGGGCCCCCCACCCATCAGCACCCCGGCCCGCGGCAGGGCCCCCCACCCATCAGCACCCCGGCCCGCGGCAGGGCCCCCCACCCATCAGCACCCGGCCCACAGCAGGGGCCCCCAGCCCATCAGCACCCCAGCCCGAGGCAGGGTCCCCCATCATCAGCACCCCGGCCTGCGGCAGGGGCCCCCACCCATCAGCACCTGGCCCGAGGCAGGGTCCCCATCATCAGCACCGGGCCTGCGTGTCTGCAGGTGGGCACCCCATTCGCCTTTGCACTTGGAACCGCCCAGGGCT